AAAAAAAAAAAAAAAAAAAAAATACTAAAATGATTTTTGAAAATTTCAAATGAGATATACTATAAACAATTTTACAAAATTAATATGTACAGTATAATTAAAACAATCAAATATTGAAAATCAAATATATAAATATTTCCATAATAATGATAAAGAAAAATTTATAAAAATATATAATAGATATTATATCTAGATAAATCTTCTAGATAAAATAATTTATTTTTGGAACAGATTCACTTGTACTACTTTTCCACCAAACTTTTCGATTATTTTATTGTGATGTTTTTACGAATAATTTATACAATATTACAATTATGATAAAAATATGTTTAAAAAACATAAGAAAAATATATATTCATCAAAATCTTATAGTATGTGATGAAATCATAATGTTTATTCGAATCTTTCGTTATTCGCCGAATAATAGAATCTTACGATAAGAAATCTTTAATGCAATAATAAATCGATAAATAAGTTCGTGATGAACATTTGTTTAATGCAAAGTATTACGATAAATATCATTAGTTGAAAAATGAGCAAAAGAACGAGAAGAATAAAGTGGATTAATGATAAAATTAATTACATTAAATTATTATATAATCCTATTTGAATTTTTACAATTACAAATAGATCATGATACTATTTCGAAATTATTAATATATATTTACTAAATTACTAAGATATAGATTCTTAATACTAATATTGTAGATATACAATGTACGTAGTTATAGGACGAGAGAAAAAAAAAAAGGAAAAGAAAAAAAATCATCTTTTTCTCATTGATTTTCTATTAAAAACTTTTTACATAATTCGAATATAGCGAATGTACTAAATCACCTTTGATATAATAATGTAATTAATATGTATTATATAATATGATACATACTTATCTATATATGGTGTTTTAAAGTGTTTTACACAAGTATAAATCACATAAGTATAAATTATAAAAATTAAATATTTTTTAAAATATAATTTTAAAAAATTCTTAAGATTTACACGGTTATAACATACTATAACATAATTGTTATAAAATTCGAAGAGATTCTATTTTCTGAAAGAGCATGATTAAGATCTGGAAAGATTAATTTTCACAATTATAGTTTTGTAAGTATTATAAGATTTTGTTTGTTGATGAGCTTACTTGTCTTTAAAATATATATCTTGTATGAAATTTATTTAGATAGAGTAGATTATTTTCAATAATTAATCATAATTAATACAATCTTACATCTATTTTCTTTGCAAACATTGAATTAAATTAAAAAAAAAATTATTCTATATTATTCTATTAAATTAAAAATTATTTTAATTCGTAAATGAAACTTTCAAATAAAAAATGTTGTTTTATAATTTTAAATTATTTTTTTAATTTACTTAATTAAATTTTTAAATTTCATTTTCTGATAATTCTTATTTTTGATTTTTGTCTAATTTTAAAATTTTTTAAATTTATAATATAAAATTTTTAATATCAATTTTTCGAAATTTTCGATATCAATTACATCGAAAATTTTAACCATTTTGTAAGTATAAAATATTATTTTATATTATAACTTAATACATATCTAATATTTTTACTATAATAATAGTATAAAAATAAGAATTAAAATTTTTTTTATATATACAATATATTTGATTTATGTCGAATCATTCAAATATTTCAAAAAATATGAATAATAAAAAATATAAGTATAAATAGTTTTTTGATATAAGAATATACATTATTATTATTATATTATTTGTATAATTAGTTTTATAAGCAATTTTATAATTATTATTAATAATTTTTCTATATATGAATATGTAAAGATTATTAATGAAAGTTAATTTTAATTTTTTAAATGGGATAATATAATTTTTATTGTACTAATTGATACAACTTATTATTTACTATAAAAAAATATTAAATTATTTATATCGAAAAATTTTTAGTTAACGAGATATTATAATTTAAAATTCAAAAATTTATCATATAAAAGACAAGAATGCGCAACATTCTATGCTCTCTTTGTCTTTGCTCTCTTTTGCTTATGCTCTCTTTGTCTTTCATTGTAAATTTTATCAAATTACAATATACAATAACAATAAACTAAAGATTTTTCGACATAAAAAATTTAATAGTCAAATTGCAAGAATTAAATTTCTTTTTTTTTAAAATCTTATTTTTTCAAATTTTGTATAATTCATAAATATTATTGTATTATTATTTTCATTGTTAAATGAATATAAATAATTGAAATGAATTCTAAAATAATTGAAATAAAAAGCAGAAGATTTCGAGAATTTATTTATTCCATCTAAATAAATTTCACAGATCGCAAGAAATAAATAATTGAAAATCAACAAACAAATATTTTTATTTGTAATTGTTCACGTGACTTATCCCGTGTACAAGTAAAGCAAATATGTTTTACAGTATGCTATATTGCTGTATCATCAACTGGAAGTATTGCGTACCTGTACACTGTTATAATAAACGGAAATATACGTTTAATATGTTACGTTTAATATGTTAAGATAAAAATCTTTATTTATTTTATAAAAGATATTGTATATCGCATACTTGATTCGTTAATGAAAAAGGATTAGAAAGAGACCAATAAGTGATTTCAATTATAATGAATATAAATACCTATAAATACTTTGCATAAAATTAACGTAATAATCTAAAACAAAGATTCTTCACAGCAAACATCTCATTTCTTTTTATCTTCATATTTTCGATACAAGTAAAAAATCTTATGTAAACGAATTATATGTTATTTACTATATATTTTATTTTGTATATCTTTTTCATTTTTATGTCAAATTTTTGTGTCAAAAAATCTGAAAATTGAAATAAAATAATATATTTTGCACCATAGATAATTATGTTA